AGTCCATGTGCCAGCCCACTCCAGGCACTCACTCCCCAGGCTGCAGTCTGGGGTGAAGGACCCAGTCACTGGGGGAAGTGCAGACTGGCTTGTGATGACGGACCAGTTGGATGATGGAAATGTGTGATAAGAAGCATATGAAACTGTTCACTACAGATGAGGAAGGCTGCACAAGCCAGCCCCTGCTTCCCTTGCTGGCTGGGCGTGCCATCCCCGTCTGGGAATGTCAATCTGAAAAGACGTTTTGATTCTGAGGGGAGGTGGGTGGGGAGCCAGACACCAGCCTGACCTAGAAGCATAATTTGGGATGTGGTGAAAAAGAAAAAAAGCGAGTTAGTTCACTTAAAACTCAAAAACGAATTCAATGCCAGAGTCAGTTCTGACTCAAAAGGCCCTTCTGCCCCGGGAGTTTCTGCGACTGTGAATCTTTTCGGGAGTTGTTGGGTGGCATCCAGTTGGTTCCGACCACCGTGACCTTGCGCACAACAGAAAGAACCGCGCCCGGCACTGCGCCCAGCCCCATGCCATCCTCACCCGTCCCTACCTAGGTCAAGTCCCCTGACGGAAGTGGACAGCCACATCTCCCTCAGCTTTGTAGTCAGCTGCTCCGTGTGTAGCCTGCTATGCCACCAGAGCGCTAGGAAGCACACGCATGCCCACGCTTACCTTGCCTATAGGGTAACTGGCCCTGACTGCAGTCCTCAACTCCAGCTGGTCCGGTTAGTGCCCAGAACCCTTACCCTGCTGCAAGGGGGGCTGCTACACCCAGCGGGTCGGTCCCAGTGCCAGGATATGGAGCAGCTGGCAGCTCTAGTGTATCTGCCTTAGGAGGACTTCAGAGGCAGGTGCCGTGTAAACACCGGGTCCGGGCTGACTTTTATTACTGAGCATCATGCCATGCCTTCCATGGATACCCACAAAGCAGCACACCTTCCTGCCACACAGTGCACTGATGGCTGGGCTCGGAAGTTGGCACTTCCAAGTGACCTCTGATCTTTAAGGAAGGAGGGAGGGGCAGGGAGAGATAAAGAAGGGGGGAGGGTCAGGGATGTCAAAGTGGGAAGGGAGGGAGGGGAGGAGGGAAGAGCAATGATAAATGTGTGTGTCTCTTCTCTGACAGGCTGGCGAATGCTCAGTCTAAGAACAATGGCAATGGGGATGTATGCGGCATCTGATTCACCGCCAGGGGCTTTCTAAGGAGGGAAGGGGCTTTCTTAGCAGAGCTAGAGCTAAGCGATACAGATTTGGCTGGTCCTCCAAGGAGCTCTCACAGTTAAGACAAAACCAAGAGACTGACACACTCTACACTCACTCGTGCAGCCAACCCCAGCTTCCTGTCAGAGGTGTCCGGTGCATGAGGGGTCACAGGCCTCCCAGCCATCAGCCTGCAGAGGTGCAGCATGGTCAGGAGCCCCAGCTTGGGCTTCCTGGTCAGAGGCCAGCTCCCCTGAGCTTGGGATGAACAAGCCATGCAGGTCCAGGTGCATGTCCACCTGCACAGAGGCGCGAGCCAGCTCGGTAAAGCTCTTGGCATCCAGAATTAGCAGGAAAGGCGGCTTCTGGGGGTCGGTAGAGACAATGGCCGATAAGATAACGCCTTGGAAGAAACAGAAAGAGACATTTTGTAAAGATGAGGCAGATGCTGGCTGGGTCTTCCTGTTCTTGGGAATTTGAGTTCAATCCGGTGTTTTACAAAGTGGGTGATCGTGCCCCCTGGGGGATCGGTGCTGGAATGATCATGGCGGGGCTGGAAAAGCAGATACCTACACTTTATTCAGGATGATGGGCTATCTTAAAAAATCTTTAATTGCCAGGGAGGGTGCGGAGTCTGTTTTTTCTTCTGGTTGGTAAACTCAGCTCACTGCCATCGAGTCAATGCTGACTCACAGCCACCCTAAGACAGGGTAGAACTGCCTTGCAGGTTTCCAAGACATTCACTCTTTATGGGAGTAGAAAGCCCAGTCTTTTCTTCTGTGGAGAGGCTGGTTGGTGGTTTTGAACTGCTGACCTTGAAGTTAGCATCCCAATGTGTAACCACTACATCATCAGGGCTCCATCAAGGGGTCCCAAATACATTTGTTGGTTACATGTTGGACTGCTAACAGAAAGGTTAGCAGTTCAAAACTAGCAGCCACTTCTTTGGAGAAAGATGAGGCTTTCTACTCCCATATACAGTTAGTCTTGGCAGCTCACAAGGGCAGTTCTACCCTGTCCTACAGGGTCACTGTGCATGGGCATCAACTTCATGCGATGGCAGTGAGTCAGACCTGAAGCCCATTGCCATCAAATCCATCCCAACTCACAGTGACCCCTGGGAGTTTCTGAGGGTGTCAATCTTTATGGAAGCAGACAGTCTTATCCTTCTCTCTCGGAGTGGCTGGAGGGTTTGAACTGCCCACCTTGTGGTTAGCAGCCCCACGCTTAACCCACGGTGCTGCCCTGGGTCCTATCAGTAGAAGAGTAGATTTGCTGCTCCGTGGAGAGGAAGAAAGGCCAGGGAACTGGAGTCAGAAGTCCTGGCTCTGGTATTGCCTGGGCCTCCCAGTGCCCTTTCTTCTCTGGCCCTTAGTCTCCTCATCTGTGGAGTGGGGCTGAGGTTGCTGCGGAATCTCCGGTGTGGTGGGCACCCACTCACCATGACTGCCTTCCTTCTTGGAGCGTCAGCTCGGGGTTGGGGGTGGGGGGTCAGCTAGCACATGTCTCTCTGCTCTGCCCTCTCCTGGGGGCACTCATAGACAAGAGCCCACTCACCTCCTGCTGGCAGCCTCAGTCGTCCCCTCTCTAAGGTGGGGACACTCCAGGCGCCCACCAGCCAGGGCATACACATTCCCAGCAGGCACAGTGCTCAGGAAGTGCCAGTGAGTCCTCCCAGGGTGCCAGACCCCAGAGCTCAGACGCAGTCATGTTGACCTGTATTCCACTTGGCGGGGGGTGGGGTGAGGTGGGGTGTCCCCGCAGGCACTTGAGGTGCAATGATACTTCCCACCAGGGGAATGAGTGGGAGATGGCGGGGGGTTGGGGAGGCACTGTGCTGACTGGCACCCCCACATCGGCGATGGCAGAGACCTGAGGCCCCTGGCCTGGCGTGCCATGCTGCGATCAATTGCCAGACAAGGCAGGTAGAGAACCACTCCCTCTCCCCTGAGGGAAGAAGCTGGCAGCCTCAGTGGGCAGTGCCCTCCCTGGCAGGCGTGGGCAGCCCTGGCACTGGCTTGGCGTGGCGGCACCTCTGCCCATGGTTCAGTGACCCTCCTTACCACCCTCAGGGCCTGGGCAGGGCATTTCTGGAGCAAAGGCCAGGAGGGAACGGTCTTCTGTGGAAAACGAGAACAAGAAGGTGGGCCCCTTCTTTCAGATGTTCCATGAAGGGCCAGAGCACAAAGCTCTCGGCCCTCAAGTCGACCCTGGCTCACAGCACCTCACAGGGTAGAGGAGGGCTGCCCCCTTGGACTGCCCATCTGCCCGCCCCATTGTTCTATCTTGGGGTTGCTGCTGATGGGCTCCAACTGCTGACTTCCCCATGAGCAGCTGGACGCTCAGTCCCTGTGTGCCCCGGGCCCCCTTCCACACCTGCGAACCCAAGCTCTCACTGCCATCGAGTAGGTCCCGACTCAGAGCAACCCTGCGAGACAAGGTAGAACTGGCCTGTGGGGCTCTGAGCTGTCGCTCTGTGGGAACAGAAAGTCTCGTCTTTCTCCCTTGGAGCAGGTGATGGTTGGAAGCCCTGACCTTGTGATTGGCTGCGCAATGCATAACTGCTACACTATTCGTGCCCCTTCCAGACCCGTCAAACCAAACCAAAGCAACCCACTGCCCTCCAGTCGATGCGGACTCATGGTGATCCTGGAGGACAGGCTAGAACTGCCCCGGTGGGTTCCCCAGGTTGTGACTCTTTGTGGAAGTAGAATACCCTATCCTTCTCCCTCGGAGCAGCTGGTGGTTTCGAACTGCTGACCGTGCAGTTAGCAGTCCAATGCATAACCACTATGCCACCCAGGTGCCTTCCAGGCTTGAAGCCGGTTGGCATTCTGATCCTGCCACTGCAGTGGCTCTGGGAACCAAGATCCTATGGCTTTGGGCAGTAGAGCATGCTCTCTTCAGACTCAGTGGGCTATGCGCGCCGGGGGCTAGGTCAGGCTACCCTCTGTGAGCCTTCCTGTCTTCATCTGTATAGGGGGAAGGGTACAGTAACTGCCTGCTGGAGTGGTTGTCAAGGATGCCCAGGGGCAACACCGCTGTGTCTGGGGGTGACCGCAGGCAGGGTGGGCAGTCCTACCGTCATCCTCTTCCTCGGCGCCTGGACTGGGCACAAACAGGGGCTCCGCCGGCCAGCAGTGCTCCTCTCCCCACTTTAAGGACGACTTAGTGATGAGGTCATACTTCAGGATCTGCGCATCCAAGGGGAGAAGCAGGCTTGCTCCCGAAAAACGGACAGGCACGAGGCCCGTTGGGCCAGGAGCCTAACCCATCACTTGCCACCCAGCCCCCGCTGAGCTGTGGCTGGTTTTCAGAAGTCAGCCGTCAGGCCTTCCCTCTGCGGTGCCTCCTGACCAGCTGAGTCAGTCTGCATGGGCCCTCAGATACAGGCTCCTGGCAGAGGATTCAAGGGGACTGCACAAGCACAGGCTGGCACTTGATCCTGGATGATGGGCTGCAGGGCAAAATGCTTACTTGCCCGGGGGCAGGGGCGCTGAATCACTTTTTTTCCCCTCTGAAAAGGGTGGAGGTAGGCTGAAGAAGTTTGGGCAACTACGCTCTAGGACATGGGATTAGTGGGGCGTGACGAGGGGTGTGTGGGAACCTTAGTTTTTTCCCCTGGATGCATTTCTGCACTGTTGGCACTTAAAAAAAGTCAATTTTATCATCTTAAAACAGGCCTGGTGAGACCGCGCGATGGCTGCGCATGTGGCAGGGCGCCTGCGATGCAGGAGTACGGTCGGTGGCTGCAGTGTGGCGGGTGCAACCAGCCGGCCCCAGCGTCCCTTGCTGACGGGGTGCTTCGCCCTGTCTGAGACTGTACATCTGAAGAGGCTTCGGTTCTGCGGGGAGGCGCTAGGGGGTGGGGAAAGTGTCGGATGCCAGCCTGACCCAGCAGCAGAATCTTGGATGGGGTGAAAGAGAAAAGCGAGATCGTTTGCTCAAAACTCAAATCCCACTGCGACTCATAGTGACTGGAGAACAGGGTAGAGCTGCCCCTGAGCCCCGAGACTGCAAGTCATGATAGGTGCAGGAAGCCTCTTCTTTCTCCCATGGAGCGGCTGGTGGCTTCAAACTGCTGACCTTGTGGCTAGCAGCTCACTGTGTAACCCACAATGAACGTCCCCGAACTGCACTCTGGGAAATGGTGGAAGCGCCCGGGCTTGGGCGGACAGGCCCACAGGGGGCGTTTGTCGGTGTGGGCCGCAATAGAGGGACAATGGCAAGAAAGCGAGGCCCTTCTCGGTTGCTGACGCTATGCTGCCGTCTGACGTCTGTGACGTGCTAACCTGTGCAAGGCTGTGGGCGTGGCCAGCGAGGAACCCACCGAGGGAGCTCTGGCTGTGGGAACAAGGGCGGTGACACCGTTGGGCACAGCCCTTCAGCGGGTACGACACACGTGTCTGCGAAGCGCAGTGAAGGGGAGGGCTCTACAAGGGGGTGCGCAAACTCCGCCCCAGAAAGAAGCAATCAAGGCCCCCAGACTTCGGCCACACCCATTCTGCTGGCGAGGCTCTGAGCCGCTTGTAGTAGGTGCTCAGTTAGGACGCACAGAGAGGGCATCCGGGAATCAGCCCGCCCATGACCTCCGTCCGACCTGCATTCCCCTGGCTCCCTCTTGTCGGGGGTCCGCATTCTCAAGGCGACCCTGCTGGACAGGGTAGAACTGCCCTTCCGGGTTTCTGTGGGCAGAAAGCTTCTTCATTCTCTTGCAGATCGGCTGGTGGTTTCGAACTGCGGACCACAGTCCCAATTGTTTGCCCCATGCGTCCTCACCACGCACCAGGCCGCCTGACGCCAGACGAATTTAGTCCCAAACCGAGCCCGAGATCCATCCTTCCCAGGGGGCCTCCCTCCTGGCCAAGGCCGCACAGGTGCGGTACCTTTGATGGGATGGGGCTCCACTGGACTTCGGCAGCGAAGACATAGCGGTACGGCTTCCCGTTGTGAGCGTAGTTGATCCTCGGGAGCTCCAAGCCTGGGGAGGAACGAGCACCAGGCTGACCAGCCGCCATCGCGGAGGGTGGGATGCAGTGCTCCCCACACAGCGCTGGGCATCCCTTCCCACCCGGCAGCTCCCAGTCCCGCCACCCTGGGCTTAACTCCAGCCCTGGACTGGATCAACGGGGATGCCAACACACAGGCACCGAACCAGGGCTCAGGGCAGGGGGAGGGGAGCCCTGATAATGACCCTGGGTCTATTAGAAGGTGCAGGAGCAAGTTAAACTAGATTTTGGCTTATGAAATGTGTAAACATTTTTAATTATCCGAGATAAAAATCAAAGAGAATTACATGATTAAAATCAGAAGGTACTGCAATTTAATTTTTTTTAATTTTTGTTTTAATACTCTGGGGAAAAAAGCACTTCAAACCAAAGGAGCAGCCCTTAGAGATTGCCAAGGGGCTGTGGGAGGGCCAGGCGAGAAGGGCAAAACCAGGGGTTGGTAAACTTTGGAGACGGATGGGCCAATCCTGCCCCTCAGAACAATTTTTAAATGGTTTGAGAGCCATAAATGTGTTTTTACAAACAAATGAAACTACATTTTCTGAATAATAACCTTTTAAAATTTTATAAAGCAACTTTTAGTTTTTTATTTTCATTTTTAGTTTTACTTTAGGGCCGCCACATCAGTACCAAAGGAGTCACTTGTGGGCAGTTTGTTGACCTGCGCTTAGGCTGGCCTGTTGACAGGTGTTAACTAGGGGGAAATAGAGGATGGTGTCCACACAAGAGGGAGAGAAGAAATCAAGGAGCAGAGAAGGATAAGCTATTGGGGGTGGGGGGGGAATGATGTGTGGCTTACACTGTTGACTATGAAGTTGATGATCTGAAATGCATACCCTCACCTAACTTAAAATAAAAAATTACTAAGCTTGAGTACTGATGTGTGTGTAGGCATGTGTCCGTACATGTATGTTCATGTGCACGTGTGTGCAAAGAGAAGCTACTGAAAGGCATATGAATGGGGAACCATTAATAATGGTTACGAATTGGGCTGCGATCCGTTATGTCAGCGGTTCGAGACCACCAGCCACTCCAAGGGAGAAAGATGGGGCTTTCTCCTCTCATAAGCGGTTTGTCTCAGAAACCCCCAGGGGCAGTTCTACCCTGTCCTTTAGGGTCACTGTGAGTTGGCACTGAATTGATGACGGTGAGTTTGGTATTTTGGGGGTGGGGGTGGGGAGTGATTTCATGTGATAGCATATTGTATAAAAATGGTATTGACAAAGAGCTCTTTTTCTAAGCCTAGGACTAGTAAGACTATGTGAAGATGTCTTAACATAAGGTCACTGAAGTACAGAATTAATCTAGTCGTGGCACTAGCTCCAGAAGGAACCTAAATGTGGAACATAAGTTAGAAAGTCCTGACGGTTTATGGGGTACATTCTAAGTCTTTCAGTTAGGATGGTGGTGCTGTCCCCTTTGCCCACTGCACATCTGGCCACCTTGAGACGTTATGGGTTGTTCCTTCGGGGAGAGCGGGCAGTGCTGCCAGCGCCTGTAGGGCAGAGATCAGGAGGGATTCGACACTCACAGGCAGAACCCACCTCAAGGAATTGACCTTGGTGTTGGAAGTACCCTTGAGCTGGTTCCAACTTACAGCGACCCTCTAGCCAACAGAAGGAAAGGCTGCCTGGACCCGGGCTGTCCTCCCAATGGCTCCTGCGCTTGAGCCCACTGCTGCAGCACTGTGTCCATCTACCTTGTCCAGTGTCTCCCTCTTTCTTACTGCCCCGCCATTGTACCAAGCATGATGGCTGCCTCCAGGGGCAGGTAGCTCCTGATAAAGTGTCCCCAGCATGTGAGGCAAAGTCCCACCATCCTCACTTCTGAGGAGCATTCTGGCCTGTACACCAAGAGTTAGCTGGCCCCAAAGCCAGCCGTGCGGAGGCAGGGCGACCTGCTCCGGGAGCATCATGAATTCTACTCTTGGGGCTTGATATGGTGCGTAACTCGGCTACTCCGCAGACACAGTCTCCTCAGCTGGAAAATGGGGCTGTCAAGACCCACGTCGTGTCCTGTCCCTGTCCAGTACTGTGTGCTGCCACGATATTGGAAGCGTTGCCACTGATATTTCCAACACCAGCAGGCTCACCCTAGGCGGGACAAGTTTCAGTGGAGCTTCTGGTCTGGTCCAAGGAGAAAGGCCTACTTCTTCAAACTCACTTAGGAAAACTGCACAATCACAAGAGAATGTTGTCCCACTTGTTCAGCGACAGCTGTGCCAGGGCCTGGTGTGCGGTGGAGGGGAGGGCCAGCGAGGGCTTGGGAGAGGGGAACTGGACTCAGTGGATTCCAATACGCTGCCATCTAGGAGGACCCAGGACCCGGCAGTGTTCCTTCTGTTGTGGGGCGGCTACCACGATGTGACGTGATGTGACGTGACGGCAGCTCTCTGCCCACCTACCCACCACCTACCCTACAAGGTTACTGGGAATGGGGTAGAGTGAGAATTAAGAACGTTCTGTGGCTTGTCAAAAAGTCAAGAAGCCAAGCATCTGCAAACAGTGAACGTGGATGATGTCTGCTCCGATGGCCACCCACAGCCTCCCTTTGTGGTGTTTGGGGAGAGAATCAAGTGACCTCTCCCAAAGGCTTGTCACTGGGGCAATCCCAGAGGCCTCCCTGTCTCCCAAGGTGCAGGTGTGGGCCCCCTGGGTGGGAGGGAGGGGTTGGCTGGGGACCTGCCCCATCTCCAAGAGCCTGCTTTACCTTCGTACAGCACTTCCGGCTGGCAGTAGACCAGGCCCTCTCCCTCCTTCAGTGCGGTTGCTGTGGTGGAGGGCGGCAGGTTTAAACTGGAGCCCACTGCGGCATCCTGCAAAGAATCCATTTCAGGGGGGGGCGGAAAAAGGAAAGCTTGTCTTTGCAGATCAAACCTGGGGCTTCCTGTGCGTACACTTGAAAGACACCTGAGATCTCTTGGCCTGGCTTCCCACGAGCCCCGGGAGGCTTGTCAATCTGGAATCACCTGATCCTCAGTGACAAACTTACAGGAGGGGTGTCAAGATGGAGCGATGACACCCCAAGTTGGCAGGGCCTGGGCACCCACACCTGTGGTCTTGATTCTCCAGTCCCTTGGGTAACCCTGGGTCCCTTCACAGGCCAAGTTAATGTGAGGATAGGAGTAAGTTCTGGCTTTGTAGAGGCCCTGTGATTCATCCCAAAGACTGCATCAGTCATTAAAAGGACATTTATAAGGAGTTTATAATAGCATGGGAAATGCTCATGATAGAATACTGAGTTCAAGGAGCTGCAGACCAAATTGCATATTCACTCTGAACTCAACTGTGTTAAAAAGAAAACTCACCCCGAAATGGGCCCGGGAGAGAGATGCGTGGAACATGAGCATCATGGGGATTTGACAGTGTGTGTGTGTGTGTCTCCTTTTCTTTGCCTCTTTTGTCAGTATTTTCTCCTACAAACTCTGGCTGAATCAAATGCAAACCTGCAAGACCCATCTTCCTAGGCCACTCCTCAGTCTCAAGTTGCAGTCTCACTGTGCCCTGTCCAGGACCAGTATTACTGGCTTCGGTGTGACCCAGAAGAGGGCTCTCAAGCCATTGATTACATCGAGTATCGACTGCTCTTGGTTGCCCCACTTCCTCGCTATGAGACGGGGTGCAAGTGACTCATCCTCCCCAGCCCTGCCCAGCACACGTCCACCGTGGCGTGACAGTGGCTTACACGAGACCAGGCGATGGCTGGAGACACAGAAGCTGCTGGTGGCTGGTTGGGTGGCTCTTTTGTTGCCACCAACCTGAGGGCTAAGTACAGGGTAGTGCTGGAGGACACGTGCTATTGTGGCGTCCTCCTTTCATGTGAACTTTCCTTTCTGAATTTTCTAGAATGTCATTGGGCTGCTAACTTCAAGGTCCATGGTTCAAACCCACCAGTTGCTCATTAGGAGAAAGATGAGACAGTAAAGACTCATCGTCTGGGAAACTCCCAGGGGCAGTTCTGCTGTCTTATGGGGCGGCTGTGAGCTGGAATGGACGCGATGGCAGTGGGTTATTGGGTATTTTACCTGAGCAGCTTTCTGCTGGAAAAGGTGTCAGTGGGGTGATGGTTTCTGGCATTCCGGCTGTAAACTTCCAAGGTCCTTAGATATCTGTTTAGTTCTCAACCTGCTCCTCTAATTTATATTAGAGGAAACAGACAAAACGGAGCCCAAGGAAGTACAGTAACTTGTCCAAGGTCACCTAGGCCGAGGCCAAGGCTCTGGCCAAGCCCTTGCATTGAGCACTTCTGCCCAGAAAGAAGTGCATGCATTGCAGGTGGATGGCAAAGCCTATGCAAAAGCCCTGGGGCTGCCCGGCCCCTCCCCTGCAGACCCTGTCTGTAGTAGAGTCCAGGCACTCAACTCCTCCTCTGACCATCTTCTGGATTGGAAAAAAACAAAACAAAACACCAAAACCCAAAATGCATTGCCATCAGTCAATTCTGACTCATAGGGATTCCTGAGGACCGAATATAACTACCCCTGTACGTTTCTGAGACTGCAGCTCCTTACAGCCTCCCTGGAGAAAGCCTCACAGTTCTCCCAAGGAGCAACAGTGGTCTCAAACCGCTGACCTTGAGCTGTTTAGCAGCCCAACGCGTAATCACCTGGGCAGGCGGGCACAACAGGCAAAGGCCTCCCTAGCTTGTCTCAGGGCCACTGCTAGGAGGCTCAGGGCTCCAGCGGGAACTGGTCAGACAGGTTGAGGGAGAAATGTGAATTTTTCCACAGTAACAAACATGACTGGGCTTCCCTTCAGGCCAACAGGCTCAGCTTTGGGGAAAATTGCTTTCCAGCCAGAATCCCAAGGCTGGCTGGAAATCCCTAGGCTGAAGGGAACTCCCAGGAGAGGGAAGCGTCTCAGGGATCCTCCCAAAAGAGGTTTTGGGGACACGCAGTGCCCCGCTCCCCCCATGGAGTCCAGGCGGACCAGGCAGAACCTCGGCCTTGCTTGAACCTGTCTCCTCATCAGTAAAGTGGAGGCGCGATCCTTAGCTTCTGGGCTGACTGGGAGCCCTGGGGAGGTCTGCTCCGACCTGCCCTTGAGGATTATGGGTAGGATTAAATGAAGTAATAGTCTGAAAACACGTGGCACAGGGCCAGCTGCACTGTAGATCCTGAAGCCAGGCAGATGTGGACTCAAAATCTCACAGCGAGCCTGCCACTCTGGGCAACGACATTCTCTGCCACCAGCAGACCCGGGGACAGCAGGTACCTTAGAGGTGTGATTTCGAAGAAGTCAGAGAACACAACAAGCCTTCGCCACCACCACCACCACCACCACCACCAACAACAACAACAACAACAACAACAACAACAAACACTGTCGTTAGGCCGATTCTGACCCATACTGCCCAACAGGACAGAGCAGAACTGCCCCTAGGGGTTTAGAGACTGTGTTTTTCTGGGGACCAGAGTCTCATCTTTCTCCTGGTGGGTTTAAACCATAAACCCACTCCGGCGCCAACAGGTGAGAGTGCAAGTGGAGGCCACCGACCACGTGTTTACGTATGTTGGCAAGAGGGTTAAGTAAAACACAGCTCTCTCTCCCGACTTTGACAAAGACCCCTCTCTGATATTATTGGCCACCACCTGTCTGTCAGCCTGTCACTGCTAGAAGCAACAGCACTGGTGTTTCAAATGCCAGCGGTGTCATCTCTGGTGGACTGGTTCTGATGGTGTTTCCAGCCTAAGACTGGGAAGAAAGGCCTGGTTCCCCACTCCCAAACATGAGCCCATGAAAACCCTGTAGATCACAAGAGAACACCGTCTGAGAGGGTGTTGGAGGATGACCCGCCAGGTTGGAGGGCACTCACAGTGGGTAGCAGCCACGGGCTCAAGCAATATTTTGTTCACCTGGACAGGTGGCAAGTATTTTGTTCTGTTGTGTGTGAGGTCTTCATGAATTAGTGACAACTCGATGCCAATGGCCAACAAGATTGTGCAGTCCACTGAGCAACATGGTCATCACTAGCCACGTGTGACCACTGAAGTGTCAGGGGATTCTGAACTGGACCAGGGTGGCCCCTGCCCCTGCCTCTCCCATGGCTGCTGCATCCCTCACTCTGATGGGCTTTGTGCTGAGCAGAGAGGTGATGGCTAGCATTCCTGAGCCAGCAGCCAACCTCAGTGTGCACAGAGACCCAGGCTGCCCTAAACAGGACCAGAGCAGCCCTAGACGCAGGCCGGGGTGTTTGGACAGGGAATTCAGATCCCAGGCTCCGGGTCATGTCCTGGGCCCTGTGACCTTGTCACCCTGGGCAGAAGGGGCCTGATCAGGGACCTCTAATATGCCAGCCAGTGGCTCCTCTCACAATCTCTGGGAGCAGAAAAGGGGCTTCAGGGTGCCTGGCACAGAGCAAGTTTTGCCTGGATAGAGGAGCGGCAGCTCCTTTCAGTGCTGTGCTTCCCTTTCGCACTTGGACGGCAAGGGACAAAGCTGGGCAGGGTCTGGAGGCCTCCCACTTCCATACTGGAGAGCTAGTTCCTCTCCAGAGGCGCAAATGGTTGACAGGGCCAGAGGCGAACTGGAGAGCTGGAGGTTCAAATCCACCCTCTGACAGCTTTGTGGAGCCAGCATTACTCTGTATCATGGGGCTGCCACAATGGCAACCGGGCCTCCCCTGCTTCGTTGATGGTCATGTCCAAGGTGCCTCTCTGCTGGGGTCACCCCTGACAACCGGACGGACAGACAGATGGTCACCCAGTGGAGGACACTGTGCATGACCCGCCTCTGAGGCTGCCAGAGGAGGGCAGGGAAACTGTCCGGGCTGTCTGTACATGCCTGCTCCCTTTCCGCCCAGCCCCTCCTCCCACCAGCCCTGCCTTAGACACCCCGCGCCGCCCTACATAAACAAACCTGCGGAGCGCCCCACCTTCTCTCTGACCCTAGCTGGCCCAAAACAGAATCTGGGGCAGTGGGGGCAGCCAGGAGCTCCTGGATTTATGCCCCATTCTCCATTGCCCGTCCTACGGGAACGTGCTTTCCTCGGCCAAACGTCCTCACGGCTGAAGGGCCCCTGTGTCCTTGAGACCCTGCCCCACAGTTCCACTGACTCTCTCATTTGCCCACCCACCCACGATATCGAAGGGCTTCATGAGCACCCCAAGAGTCAGAACAAGAGCAAGGGAGGCCCCTGTCCTCTCAGGGAATCAGAAAAAAGGACTGGACACACTTGAGACAGCGGGGAGTCAAAAGCTGCGTGTGCTGGCAGTACGGGCCTGCACCTGGTCTGAGTGGCCTCCGAGGCTGAGCACTGGAGGCTAAGCTCACCCGGTGGTGCTCAGTCGGTGGGCCTCTCCTAGGATTCATCATCTTGCAGCCCTCACCCTTACTTGGTGTGGTCCTCTCCTGGTGGCCCTCAGCTGGTGCTCTTTACCTGGTGGCCCTCACCCTGGTAGTCCTCACCTGGTGGCCCCTATCTGGTGGTCCTCAGCATGAGGCTCTCACCCTGGCTGCACATTGAAGTCACCTGGGAGCTTTGAAATCACACCCACACCTGAGCCTGGCACCCAGACACTGTGGCTTAGGGCCTCAATACTGCCCTGTGATGCCAGTGTGCAGCCATGCGTGCCGGGGGAGTGACAGGAAGAGGGGACAGCGGCGTCTGAGACCCCAGAGTGGAAGGAGAAAGGGTGTTGGTCCCCATGGCCCCTTCCTTAATAGCCGTTGGATGGGACGTAGCCAGGACAGCCAGGCCGGACTTCTAAGGCCACGTTCACCTGCCTGATGTGCCTCTTTCAAGAGACAGGCGGAGTGACTTGAAAGTGAACAAGAAGCCATTTTTTAAGGGACAATAAATAGCAATTAGAGAGCG